CTAGTCAAGGTCAGAATGCATCGACATGGAGATAAGTCGTTTTTGAATCATAAAATTGATGTATGGTTGCGAGCAGCAATATCGCCATCACATCTATTTTGAGTAATGTAACGACGTATATCCTTCTTGACTAAGTACACATTTGATGTAAGGTATAACGGCCGAATTTATATGGTTGCGGTTGTGCTGACGCATCGCCTCGACTATAAACAGCCACATATCACGAAGGTGAAGCCGTCAATAATTAAGGCGATGTTAATTTCATACGGGTCAGAAGCAACATGTGGCGCGCTGCCGAAGAATTTACACATGGCTTATCAAATCGCTTCTGCACACCTTCATCGCTATCGTTCATACAAATCTTGCTGTATTACAGCACTGTCTCACATGACAATTAGCATTGTCGACACGACCCGTGTGTATTTTCACTCCTAAAGGTTAGATCTAGTCCAAAAGTCTTGACAACGCATCGACTGAGATTAATTGTCCTGCCTGGCTTGAAGTGTGCAATATGGTATTTCTCCACAAATAACAGTACTCTCGAGCGATATTCCGCAATAATTGCGGCGTCTTCATTGCCGTACGCAGCAAGGCATGATCTTCTAGATCGCAAAGCGCTTTTCTCCAAGCAAGCACACACGGCACTCGACTAAAGCATATTTTCTTGCCAGAAGCACTTTGTCATGAATTGGATAGTTAAGTCCCGCGGGCCGAAGCTGTCACGACTATACAAAACAATTTCTTCCCAGCCTTCATCATCGTGTTGCATCAACGCACAACCAATGATATAATCGCTTGCGTCTCACACCATATGGAGGGGCTAATTGTGGTTTGCAACCAAAAGAACAGGAGCTCTTCGCAAGCTTTCTCTCACTTCAGCAAATACCGCCTGGATAAATATTGACCATTCCACCTTAAACGTCTTTCGTGAAACGAGTCGTTATGGAGTTTCTCCAACGCTGCATCATTCAATCAACGATCAAATTCTTGCGTGGAGTCGACGTCTGCGCAGATAGAGTCGCATCGTTTAGTTTATTCGAATCATGAACAATACACCAGCCGCCTGTGGCTTTCATCACACAGATAGTTGGACTACAGTGCTGAAATTTACTCTCACACATATGACCGGCCTTCTGTCACTGCGCAAAGATTCCGTGATGCAATGGCTGTTTTTTTTTGGTAGCGGTCAGTGCCATGTGATACAAAACTTCAAAAAAGAAGTATGTAAATCTCACCTTAGATACCTCTGTCAGATGGCAATTTGTCCGGCACCTTGTCTGGGAACATATCAACGTATTCCTCGACAAGCCCATACGCGAGGTTTCCTTCCGTTTCTTTCATCAATTGCTTCAGCAGCATTGATGACATCGTCGATAGCTTTCTCAAATTTATGCCTTTTGCCAGGCTACGCTTCAGCGTCTTCTTGCTCACTAACGGCGAGGAAAACAGTTCTTTAAGTGAAGCTGAAGGATTCTCAATCTTTACGTGATGAATAAAATCGACGTCAACCTCTTCGTGATAGACCACAACCTTTAGAATTTCGCTCGAAGTGACTTGTTTCTGAGCCCTTCGTTCATTGACACAGCTTGTTCCTTGATTTGGGACGCGCAAAATACTTGACGGAAAATTCTTCATGGCGGCTTTTTTTTCTTCATCTTTGCCTTTAATCCCACTAATCTCCATACTACCATCGCCCATCGCTTTCATGTCGATGGCAAAGGTTAATTCTTTTCCGACGCAGGACTTCTCCACCTCTCGTTGGTGTCGTTACTTTTGTCGTCTTGGGTTTGTCCTGTGAACAATGGGACCATCGCACAACACGATATCTCTTGGGATATTAGGGACTTCTTTAAGAGATATACACCTCCATACCGTTTTGTCCGTCATCATGGTGCTAGATTGAGCGCAGCACGACTTGTGAACGACGGTCTCCACATTCATTTTGTCATCGCTATGCTGCAATATTCTGACCATGGCATACCTAGGATTATTTTAAATTGATTGTTGATGTTCATACGGAAAAACTCATCTCCATCTCAAAATTTTTATTCTTCATTCCTCAACAACTGATTTGCGTTGGCGTTCCCATCGTAGATCTAATCGCCAAACGATTGGTGTCTTCGATTTTAATCTCGGGCAGGCTAACACTAAGTTAGAAGCACCTGTGTCTCAAAAACGCTCTTATACGGAGTTCATCTACCACAAGTCATCATATTTACGAGGATACCTATCGCAATGGCTCCAAGTCAAGGAAAAAGTCGCGAAAATAGCATCATATAAATGTACATGATAGTATGATCACCCCGCTGGCATCCTCTTTTCAGCAATGAATTCCTTCCAAGATGCAATCGCTTTGTTATACAAGACATCGCTTAGGTATTCAAGACAATCGCGCAAAAACGGATACACCACGAGCACAAACTGCGTCGACCCGTTTGAGTTATCTCGATTATCGCATCCTATCGACTTTTGTAAGAGTATTGGCGTGCGGCTGATGTACTAACATGAGACATCGGATGCGTTCTTAGAGCTGCGCAATCGTATTAATAGACTTGAAGCACTTAGCACCGGATCGCTGCTCTAAAGATGGAGGTGCTCAGAGTTATTGATTTAGTGCATCGCACTTGAGGCTCGTAAGAGCGGGATCGCTGGACAGCTTCGATACGCTCATGAAGAACACGGGATGGGCTTGCATTATCACTTGGACATTTAACTGTGACCTTAGTTTACAGGTACGACTGTAAACGGCTCACTACAGAGGTTGTCTCAACAACTACGATTACAGGATGTGTAAGGAAGCCAACAGCATGTATTTAATCCCATTTGCCCATCACATTTTCAAACGTGTTCTGTCTGTCTTTGGTATATTGAGATAAGTCCGGTAAGGGCTTGTACATTGTTAAAGCACCGCGGCTGCTCCGCGCAAGTGCTTTGGAATACATTCTCCATCACGAGATTAATGCGTGTCGTCTTCATTTCTTCCGGGTTTGATCAGCGAGATACATGTGTAATTTGGTGTTAAATACTCGGCGGATCTTCACTGATATTATTTTATTAGACTTTTGTTGAGGAACAGTTCGGCTGCATTTTTATCGTATATTCGAAATGGGCCATTGCTCAAACGTATCACAAAGATCGCAATACAGGGTTGACCGGATGCGACTACTTGTAAGGTGTACAACTCAAACTTATGGTTTACCTATACTTTGCCCGCACAGACGGTCACCACGTGTGCAGCGGGGCTGCCGTAGCTTTGCGCTATAACCCAAGGCTAATTAGCTTTTCGGTTTAAATTCAAAACTGAATTTGCATAAATACCACAGAATTAGAAAACGCTGGACAATGAACGCGGCAAAGCCGCCTAATTTTTAAATGCATAGATTTTCCTAAATA